TGTGTGTGTGTGTGTGTGTGTGTGTGTGTGTGTGTGTGTGTGTGTGTCTGTGTGTGTGTGTGTGTGTGTGTGTCTGTGTGTGTGTGTAGCTATGTATGTCTCCCATCCAGGGTTGTGTACATTTGTCTGAGCTTCTTCCAAACCAGGGTAACACTCCAAGTTGACCCTTCCCCTCCAGGGTCTCTAGGAAGAAAGAATCCTGGACCGGAAGGCAGGCAGCCAAGGTTCTCCTGGGTCAGATCATCACTGTCCAGCCTTGTGTGATTTCCCCTCCCAGAGACTCAATTCCCTTGAGAAGAATGGAGACAAAAAGTGTTCTGGCCATTCCCGTATTACTCACAAGCTCCTGTCCTCACCTAAAAGTTTGGAGGACCCTAGGTGGCATCATGTCTCCTGGGTTGTATGACTTGTTATTCCCACAGTTACAGTCTTGCCAGGGAAACAGCTCCAGAGGGGAGGGGGTAGACCCAGGGTCACTCCAAAAACCATCCCCTCCTACCATGGCCCTGAGGCTCCTAACTCTGGCACCCCTTCCCTGCCAGAGCTGTCTTCTGCCCTGTGCAATGATTGGGGCACAGGGGCAACAGAGGTGTACAGAGCCCGTGCATACACACTGCACGTGGGAGTCTGGAAAGGCCAAGGACACAAAGCCACGTACACGTTCCCTACCCGCCCCTTCAGCCTCTGTGGGCTGGAGCAGAGCCAAGCTGCAGCCACTCACAAAGCCAGGGTTCTGGCCAGGAGCCTAGGGTCTAGCCACTGACCAATGGGACAAGGATCCTGCTCACCCACTCCGACCAAACCTTCAGTCCCAAGCTTGGTGAGCTGACACCCTAGGGATGGTAGTAAAGGGGACTCTGGCCTTCCCAAAGCCTCAGCCAAAGACAAGAGCAAAGGTTTCTAAAACCATTTTAAACTGGGATGCCTTTGTTACTCTAGGAGTAAAAGCCAGACATGACACTGAGTATTAATTTTGTTCAGAGATTTGGGGCAAAGAGGTGGGGAGGTTGTGCCCTTAAGTTTTTGCACATCTGTTGGCAAAGAAAAGTTGTGGCTGGAGCTACGCCTTCGGCCTTTAACCCCAGGCCCCCAAGGATCAGAGTTCACACTCCTCTGGTGTTAGAATATGTGATTAAAGTTTGAGAAGCACAGTTTTATTGATCCCACATCTGCCCAAACCCTAGGCCCTAGTTCCCTCAGGCAGAAGGCCCTGTGGCCAGTGTGGTCAGGCCATGGCTGCTGTCTCCCTGTCCTTCTGCCCCAGGCGGTAATGAACCTCAGGAAGCGCCCTTAGTCTCTCTGCAGCCTGGAAGGGGGAAAGGGGATAATCAGAGAGGGTAAGGGCTGCCCAGAATGGTGAGTGCTAGGAGACGCTAGACACTGGGGGAGAGCATGCAGGGTGGGGAGGCTGGTGAGAAGGACCACTGGAATAGCCAGAGGATGAAGGAGTCAGCTCCTGAGTCCCTAGAAATACCCAGGTCATGGGGATTCTCAGGGTCATGATTGTTGGGATCCCTTGAGGAAATAGGAGGGAAAAGGGGACCCAAGGACCCAGGGTGCTCCAAGTCCACACCTGCTCAGGGGTGAGGTCCCTCTGGGCCTGGGCAAGCATTTCATAGCCAACCATGAATTTCCGGACTGTGGCAGAGCGCAGGAGTGGAGGATAATAATGAGCATGTAGCTGCCAGTGGTCCCAGTTGGCTCCAGCCTCTGATCCGATAGGAGCCCCTGGTGGGAAGAAGGCAGAGATAGTTGGGAAGGGTCCTTTCTTAGTTCTTCAGCCTAGCTCTTACCCCCAGACCATAGCAGGTACCTGAAAACTACATCTTCCAGCATTCCCTGCCAGAGAGGAGACAAGGCATTGGAAAGCCCACTGGGAGACATAGTTTCACCACGTTCACTTCTCCACTCTCAGTCCCAGCATCCCTGCCCTGAACCCTTCCCCAGCAAGTGTTCCAAGGCCTGCTGGGAGTTGCAGTCCACTAAGCTGGGACCCAGGAGCCCAGAAATGGTGTTGGGGTTAGATATGGGTACTCAAAAAGCCTCACCGTGCCAGCCCATGGAGTAGGGAAAGGATGTCTCAAATAGGTTGTCATACTTGGTCAAGAGCTTCTTCATGATGGAGGCTAGATCTGGAATCAGAGCCTGACTCTCAGTCTGGGGCCCAGATGCTGGCCCCACCAGAACCATCCCCATCCAAAGCCTGGCCCCAGGGTCCCACCTGGGAGACTCACCGTCACGCTCAGCCGGGGTCAGCTCAGGCAGCCGCCGCACATGCCGACGGGGCAGCAGTAGTGTCTGGAAGGGCCACACTGCCCAGAAGGGGACCAGCACTAACCAGTGCTCACTGGTTAGGACCAGACGGTCCTAGGCCGACCAAATGGAGATGAGGTCATCAAGGTGGGTGTGAGGGGGGTCAGCAAATAGGCAAGGGAAGGAGAAGAGAAGACGTACCCAGAAACCGATGGTTTCTCACCACTCCACCACTACCACCCTAGTCTAAGCCATCATCACCTTTCCTTTAGCTTACTGCTATGTCCTCCTAGCAAGTCTCTCTGCTACTTCCCTTCTACCCTCCTCCTTCATACACCTCTCCTTTTTGGGGTGAGGTTACGGGCTTCCTGGGGACAGAAGATCCAGCTTCCTCCCACCTTCCTGAGCAGCTCTTGGCGGCCGTACTCCATTAGCAGGGGCTCTCCGTGCTGACTCTGATAGGCCCGCTGAGATCGCTCCTCACGCTGGGCAACATCTGGCAGGAAACTGCTGGCCCACACCTGTCAAGGGGGAGGAGAAGAGCAGACAGTATCCCTCACCTCCAAGCCTCCACATCACTAGCATACTTCCTCTGTTTTCCCTTACTCCAGTTCCCCACCCCACACTGTCTTGGACTCAGTCCAGATATCCACTGAAGCCCCTGACACACATACCTGGCAGTGGGGATGGGGGTTGGAACAGCCCATCATGGCTCCTTTGTTTTCAAAGATCTATGAAGTAGGGGTAGGGAGCTTTATAGCCAAAAGGACAGCAAGTCAACCCCTCCGAAACACAACCTGTGGAAATAAAAATGCCACTTCCCAAAACCAAACTGCACCACCCCCTCCCTGCCCATCTAGGGGAGGGGGCGACCTCACAGACCTGCACCCAAGGGTACTGGGCACCCAGCTCCTCTGTGACTGAGGCCCATGCATCAACGACAGCTCGGATCTCAGGGACTGACATGAGTGGCAGTGTCACATCCGACCAGGGGTGGAAGCACATAACCTTACTAGGTGGTAAAGGAGGGAGAGATGACAGAGATACAGGGCTCGTTGAGCTGGGGGCAGGGCCCAACCCCAGTGCTCAGTCCAGGCCTCGGGTTGAAGGGTGTAAGAGTGGAAATTCATAGTTACCAAACTCCTCGAGCAGCCTCTGCTTGGAAAAGGGGGTGATCACTGGGTCCTAAGATAAAGGGGTATCACTCTCTGCAACAGAAGTCCCCCAACAAGGTCCAGCCTCTTTTCTCCCCAACAGCAGCTAGATCCAACTTACCTGGACTAGGGGCATCAGGCTGCAGAGCTGGGAAGTCATTGTCAAACAGGAAAGTGCCTTCATAGCGGGGATTCACCTACAGACAAGGATGGGCTAGAAGCATTTGCTGGCCCATACCACCAGTCATCTGATGGGCTTCAAGGCTACAAGGCGGGAAGAAGGCCACTCTGAGGTCAAAAAGACTTGGTGGGATATGACTCAGAGGTCCACTCCCCTGTGGGGCGAAGGGCTAGGGTCCACTCCCCTGTAGGGTGAAGGGAAGCTCTAAGGGCAGTGGATGGGAAACTACTCCCCCCAGGCCCAGCCTGCAGATGTAGGATCTAAAGACTTACCTCTCCATTGGCCCGTGTGGCCCCCGGACACAGAGGGTTGTGGGGGTCATGGCGGGGTACTGTCGTCAGAAGCGGGGGTTCTACCTGCCCCTGCCAGGGCCGCTTCATGCGGTGCGCTGACACCAGCACCCACTCATCTTGTAGCGGGTTGTAGCGGATATGCTGATGCTCTGGAGGCAAACCGTCAAGATCAGTCACAAAGCCCTATGCCCCTTTCTCCCCTGGGTCTTACCCACCAGCAGGCCCAAGCTCGGATGCACCCTGTTGTCCCCACCCTACTCAGGAGCTAAAGGCCAGAGCTTGGGCGTTCCCAGCGCCAATCAGTCTGCAGCCCCAACACCGGCGTGTCCCTTCGCCGCGCGTGCCTGGACGGGTGGGCGCGCCGACCTGCGGGCAGGGACGACAACTTCCTAAGGAAGGGGAGGGCTCAGCTTTGCTTCCCAGCGAGTCCCGGCCGCCCTGCGGTTACCGCTCGCCCGGAAGGTTGTGGCCATGGCGTCCGCCTCCGACGCCTGCCAGCGCCGCTCAGGACACGCTCCCCTGCGCGCCAGGAGGCCTCGGGTGGAGATACCTTCGGTAACTTCTACCTGCTCACCTCGCCCCCACCGCCTAGTCGGCCCGGCTCCGCCCCGCCCTCACCCCGCCCTCGCTGATTGGACAGCCGCAAGCACGTGACTGTCTGAGGGCCGGCCCGGCCACCTGGGGGCGGAGTTCAGGACTGCCTACAGCTACAGGGGGCGACTTTGATGATCCCATTCTATCTAGGGCCAAAGCCACTAACTACCCTGGAAGAACCTCTGTGAAAGCTGCTTACCACAGATCCCTCGGCTCCAGGATGCTTACAAGAGTTATTTGCTTTCTTAAAGTCATTCATTTGGTCATTCAGCAAATATTTACTATCTACCACCACGTGCCAGGCCCCTAGGCTCCACATGGCACAAAGGGATGTCCCTGTGTGCACGAGTCAGGCATAGACTCAGCCCTCCCAGAGCTTACATTCTAGGGTAAGTCAGGGTATAACTCTGGATCCACAGTCACCTCACTCACCTGCTTGGTGGCTCTGGCAGAGGAAAGGCAAGGAGGTGGGAGTGAGGGGCCGTGGGGCTTGATTTGCTTCAGCTAAACCTTGGCTTCAGGTACTATCTGGAGGAGTGGGTACCTCACCGTAACCATGCCCTAGCCCCACCAGGCAGCAGAAACGGGTTTGGGAAAAAAGGGCTAAGTAATCATATTCTCTCTCTCTCTCATATACCCACACACACACAAAGCACAAGAAGTGGTCAGGGTAAGAGGGCTATAAGAAATCTGAAAATGTGGGGAGGACAGGACTATCAGTAGCTCCAACCACCATCTGGGTGGGGTCAGAGGTGTTTCCTTTGCACACCCCTGTCCCTTCTCCAACTTTTCCTTGGAACAAACCAGTTGGCTAACACTAGGATAAACTTCAAATTAATTCCTCCCCTGACACTTTATAGAGCCATCTAAATATTGTCTGAACTTCCTCCCCATTTCACAGTGGAGAACCGAGGCCTCAAGATCACCCAGAGGATAAGTGGCCAAGCTGAGATTTCAACCCAAGTTTCCAAGCTCTTCCTGATACTTTGAAATGCCTCTGAGACTTCAGTGAGTTTTTGTTTGTTTGCTTTTTGGCCATGCCGTGTGCAGGATCTCAGTTCCCCGACCAGGGATTGAACCTGTGTCATAGCAGTGAGAACCCAGAATCCTAACCACTAGGCCACCAGGACATTCCCTCAGTGAGCCTTAAGATAGAAACCTAGTGAGCTAGGAGCTGGGAAGTAGCAGTGAGGGCCCTTCCCCCAAACCAGGCCAGGACAAGCCAGGTGTTTTGCTGAGCTCAGATGTAAAAACTGGGTCATAGGTCATTTACCTTATCTCTGCCCAGGGGCCTCAGACTGGAATCTAAAGAGGCCACTAGGTAGAGGGCAGGGAGCAGGGAGCTAAGAAACCAGAGTTTTACATGTCCCACTGGCTGCACGTGTAATAGGGATGTAAGGGGGATAAAAGATACACTTTTTGTGGAAAGGGAATGTTGCCTTGCTATTTCAGTAAACAACAAATTTTGCTACAGCATCAGCGCTGCAGCTGCCCCACAACTGTGGTGCGCCCTGAGGGGAATTCAAGATGGAGAAAAACAGGAAGCATTATCAGCTTTTTTTTTTTTAACTATTTGCTTATTTACTTTTGTAAATGCTTTTTTTTTCTTTTCTTTTTTCTTTTTTATCCACGTTGTGCAGCGTGTGGGATCCTAATCCCCCGACCAGGCTTCCAACCTGCGCCCCCTGCATTGGGAGCGTGGAGGCTTAACCACTGGACCGCCAGGGAAGTCCCAGCATTATGTGCTTACTTCACTTAGTATGATAATCTCTAGGTCCATCCATATTGCCGCAAATGGCATTTTTTTTTTTTTTTTTTTTTTTTTGCGGTACGCAGGCCTCTCACTGTTGTGGCCTCTCCCGTTGCAGAGCACAGGCTCCGGACGCGAAGGCTCAGCGGCCATGGCTTATGGGCCCAGCTGCTCCGCAGCATGTGGGATCTTCCCGGACCGGGGCACGAACCTGTGTCCCCTGCATCGGCAGGCGGACTCTCAACCACGGTGCCACCAGGGAAGCCCCTCATTCTTTTTTATGGCTGAGCAATATTCCATTGTATATATGTACCACATCGTCTTTATCCATTCATCTGTCGATGGACATTTAGGTTGCTTCCATGTCCTGGCAATTGTAAGTAGTGCTGCAATGAACATAGTGGTACATGTCTCTTTTTGAATTATGGTTTTCTCAGGGTATATGCCTAGTAGTGGGATTGCTGGGTCATGTGGTAGTTCTATTTTTAGTTTTTTAAGGAACCTCCATACTGTCCTCCATAGTGGCTGTATCAATTTACATTCCCACCAACAGTGCAGGAGGGTTCCCTTTTCTCCACACCATCTCTAGCATTTATTGTTTGTAGATTTTTTGATGATAGCCGGTATGACTGGTGTGAGGTGGTACCTCACTGTGGTTTTGATTTGCATTTCTCTAATAATTAGCCTTTCTCTTTTTTTTTTTTTTTTTTGCGGTACCCGGGCTTCTCACTGTTGTGGCCTCTCCCGTTGCGGAGCACAGGCTCTGGACGCGCAGGCTCAGAGGCCATGGCTCACGGGCCCAGCCGCTCCACGGCATGTGGGATCCTCCCGGACCGGGGCACGAACCCGTGTCGCCTGCATCGGCAGGCGGACTCTCAACCACTGCGCCACCAGGGAAGCCCGCCTTTCTCTTTTTTAAAACGGTGTGTCCTTATCTTTGACAAAGGAGGCAAGAATATACAATGGAGAAAAGACACCTCTTCAATAAGTGGAGCTGGGAAAACTGGACAGCTACACGTAAAATAATGAAATTAGAACACTCCCTAACACCATACACAAAAATAAACTCAGAATGGATTAAAGACCTAAATGTAAGGCCAGACACTATAAAACTCTTAGAGGAAAACATAGGCAGAACACTCTTTGACATAAATCACAGCAAGATCTTTTTTGACCCACCTCCTAGAATAATGGAAATAAAATCAAAAATAAACAAGTGGGACCTAATGAAACTTAAAAGCTTTTGCACAGCAAAGGAAACCATAAACAAGACCAAAAGACAACCGTCAGAATGGGAGAAAGTAGTTGCAAACAAAGCAACTGACAAAGGATTAATCTCCAAAATATACAAGCAGCTCATGCAAGCTAAATATCAAAGAAACAAACAACCCAATCCAAAAATGGGCAGAAGACCTAAAGAGACATTTCTCCAAGAAGACATATAGATTGCCAACAAACACATGAAAAGATTCTCTACATCACTAATCATTGGAGAAATGCAAATCAAAACCACAATGAGATATCTCCTCACACCAGTCAGAACGGCCATCATCAAAAAATCCACAAACAATAAACACTGGAGAGGATGTGGAGAAAAGGGAACCCTCCTGCACTGCTGGTGGGAATGTAAATTGATACAGCCACTATGGAGGACAGTATGGAGGCTCCTTAAAAAACTAAAAATAGAACTACCATATGACCCAGCAATCCCACTACTGGGCATATACCCTGAGAAAACCATAATTCAAAAAGATACATGTACCACTATGTTCACTGCAGCACTATTTACAATTGCCAGGACATGGAAGCAACCTAAATGTCCATCAACAGATGAATGGATAAAGAAGATGTGGCACATATATATAATGGAATATTACTGAGCGATAAAAAGAAACAAAATTGAGTTATTTTTAGTGAGGTGGATGGACCTTGAGTCTGTCATACAGAGTGTAAGTCAGAAAGAGAAAAACAAATATCGTATGCTAACACATATATATGGAATCTAAAAAAAAAAGGGTTCTGAAGAGGCTAGAGGCAGGACAAGAATAAAGACACAGTTGTAGAGAACGGACTTGAGGACACAGGGCAGGACGAGGAAGCTGAGATGAAGTGAGAGAGTAGCACTCACATATATACACTACCAAATGTAAAATGGATAGCTAGTGGGAAGCTGTTGCATAGCACAGGGAGATCAGCTCAATGTTTTGTGACGACCTAGAGGGGTGGGATAGGGAGGATGGAAGGGAGGTTCAAGAGGGAGGGGATATGGGGATATATGTATACTTATAGCTGATTCACTTTGTTGTACAACAGAAACTAACACAACATTGTAAAGCAATTATACTCTAATAAAGATATTTTTTAAAAAAGAAAAATACAAAACAGTACAAAATAAATAAATAAAACTAAACAAAAATAAAAGTGTGTGCTGGAGAAGATTTCTGAAAGACCAGGTAGGGGAGCTGCAGACCTAGACAGTCCCAGAGGATTCTGTCTGAAACAAGGGGGCAGAGACCAGATTTGCTAGTCCCTGCTACGCAGGGTTCTTAAAGAATGGTCAACTCAGGAGTGTCACAGAAGCCAGAGCCAATACAAAATCATGTTCCCTCAATCCTGCATTTTCCTCTAAATAATCCCTTTTTTTTTTTTTTTTTTTTTTTTTTTGCGTTAAGCGGGCCTCTAAATGCTGTGGCCTCTCCCGTTGCGGAGCACAGGCTCCGGACGCGCAGGCTCAGCGGCCATGGCTCGCGGGCCCAGCCGCTCCGCGGCATGTGGGATCTTCGCGGACCGGGGCACGAACCCGCGTTGCCTGCATCGGCAGGCGGACTCTCAACCACTGCGCCACCAGGGAAGCCCTAAATAATCCCTTTTTTATCATTCCCTTCTTGGTCAAATTTCTCAAAAATTAGTTCATCTTCCCAACCTCTACTCTTACCCGCACAGTACACTATAATATGTTTTTTGCCCTGTAGTAGTCGGCGTAAATAATCTTAGCTGCTGTAACAAACAACCTCCAAACTCAGTGGCTTAGTACCATGGTCCATTGTGGGAGACAGGGAGAGCTCTGTCCCATGCAGCATTTGGAATTCTCCACTACTTAATTGTATGTAACTATATTAGATAAGACAAGAAAGTGAGTGTCAAGAATTTCACAGATTTTACAAGCCAGACCTGGAAATGGCATATGTCATTTCTGCCTATACTTCATTGGACAGAACAC